CCTCTCTCTCTCTCTCTCTCTCTCTCTCTCTCTCTCTCTCTCTCTCTCTCTCAGTCTCTATGCATATAATTGAATTCTCCTGAGATCAAGTGTGTAAATTCCACCAGTTCAGCCTCTCGACCTCAGCACTTTCCCCCAAACTAAGGTGCTGTCCGTTTGCTCTAAGACTGAGATTCCAGCAGCCATCAGCTACCTGCTCCTGTCCCCCACTTGACTTACGTTGTCTGGCTGGGTGATTAAACTGTCACCCCTTTTCAAGGATAATCCTTCGCTTTCAGTAACCCCCTCTCATTTCTTTCATTCTTTCCCGCGTGATGTTCCGTTTCATAACGCTGCCGCTGCCCCCTCTCAAATCCGTCTGCGTGCAGAATGTATTGTAGATAGTAAGAATGTAATATATATTTATAAACTTACCGACTGTAAATATAAAATTTGCCTTCCACGGCTTTATGGCTGTCCTTTGTCTTTCTACACACTGACCCCCCTCCCAGCGGCTGGCATCCATGGCAAATGGCTCTCCAAAGCTGAGCTTTGGGGAAATGAAAAAGCAGATTGAAGGATCCCGGCAACAATCCGATTACAGTCTTAACGCAGCGTAATGCCTCTCTCTGCATTGAGGCGATGTTGACACATGATGACAAAGTACATTGTGTACTAAGTATCTCTCCTTCAGGACCTGAAAGGATTTGCAAATCAATCACATGTGCAATTCTCTGCTAAAAGCCTGCTGACTGATGGCAGTAAGTGAGAACCACGGCAGGCAAGCGTGTAGTCCAGCCTCCCTTTGGGCTGGAGCAAAAAGGGCTCTGTCCTGTCTTTGGATCTCACACGTACATTCGGAGGTCAATTTCCTGAGGCGCGTATGTGCCCGTGGTGACTCTGGGCTGAGGTGTTTTTTAAAAGGTTGAGTTTTAGATTCCTCTAATAATCAAATGCAGTCCCAAGACGATTCCCCAGAAAAAGAAGTTGTGTGAAATCCTTGTCTTTGTGCAAACAGTATCAAGTGATGGATCACTGACTTATTCACCTGGTATTTATTGAGCACCTGCTGTGTGCTAGGAACTAGCAAATACAGGAGGTCAGCGGTAAATATAACAGACCCAGGCCGACGCTCAAAGACCTTACCTCTAGCCGGGGCTGGGGGGATTAACAGCAAACGAAATAATTTTCAGATGGTCATAAATTGTATGAAGGATAATAAAACAGGTTACAGGATAGAAAAAGACTGAGTCAACATTTAAGACTTTGGCCACTTTACCTAAAACAAAGGGATCTCTGCCTTCTCTTGAAAATTCAGACACTCTGGGAAAATGGGGCTTACAATACAGCTTGGCCCTAATTGGCCATGGTGAATTTGCTGCTGTCGTCTCCAGGCAGACGTCCCTGCAGGCCTCTCCACACCCAGTCTCCCCAACACAGAGGGCAAACTTTCATCTGCCGTCTATGTCACCGTTTCTCCTCTAATAGGGAAATAATTCTCTCCAGCCATGTCTCTAACCCCCAGGTGCAGAAAACAAAAATAGATGGAGGGAGTTGTGTGTTCTCAAGACAGAATCAGGAGAAGTGTATTGTTATATGAAAGAGAGAGCGTACCCGTGTGTCTCCTGGGAAGGGAGGGAACATTGCCTAAAGAGCACAGCTTACGACGATCACACCGCCCTCTGTGCGCCCAGAGCCTGAGAAAGAAATGCTATGAACGTCTTAACGAACTGACTTTTCAACAGGGTGTCTTTGGGGGTGTGAATAAAATAAGGGATGCTGCTGGGTTCCTCCTAGCCTGACCTGCTTGCTCATTTCCACCTCCCGCGCCAAGCCACGGCCCCCCTCCCTGAGACAGTGAGTTCAGGTCCTGTTGCCTAAGACCAGACAGACCCCCAAGCGCATGGAACCCGGGATCATCAGCGCCCCCCGGTGGAAGCCGTGGCTTTCTGCGGCTTTTAGTGCCCCAGACTTGAGCAATTCATTACCAGCTGCTGTAACAAAGTCCCGCAACCTGCGCGGCTTGAACAACAGAAATGTGCTCTCCCACAGTCTGGAGGCCAGAAGTCTGAGATCAGGTGTCGACAGCGCTGGTTCCTTCTGAGGCTCTAAGGGACACTCTGGTGCAGCCCCTCTCCGGCTCCCGGGGGCGGCCGGCTACCCTTTGTGTCTCTTGTCCTTCAGCCGCTTCACCCCGTCTCTGTCTCCGTGTTCACGTGGTGTTTCCCACAGGATGCGCCCGTGTGTGTGCCCAGATTTCCCCTTTTTAGATGAACACCAGGCAAGTGGGAGTAGAACCCACCCTGTTCCATGAAGACCTCGTCTTAACTAACTGCAGCCACACAGACCCGATTTCCAAACAAGGTCACATCTAGTTACTGGGGGGTCAGGACCTCAAAACCTGAATTTGGGGGACACAATTAAGGCCATAACACTGGCCTCTGGCCAGAGGTCTAGGGCAGCTAAACTTGTGTGCAGACCCAGGGCAGCTGACTGCTCTACGGACCCACCAGGGCACTGGGCTTCCAGGAACGGGTCTTATCTAGAAAAGCCTCACCTTCTCGGTTTCACACCCACTTTACAAGTGAGGCTGTGCTAGGACACCCTGGGAGAGCAAGAGAATGGTCTGTCTGTTTCCCCCTGGGGAAGCTCAGAACTGTGAGTTAACTACCCCGTGTGTCATTTTCCAAGATGCAGTCATTAGCTCCCACCGGGGATGCCACCCTCCCCCCCGCCCCGCTCGCTTTGCTGTGGCTGCAGCCATGGAGGCTCCGGCAGGGAAGCGGGGGGAGCAGGGGGCCGCCC